TAAAGCTCAATGAACTGAAAGATAAACACAAAAAGGATTAAAAGCACAAGTTTAACTCAAAAACATAACCAAATCATAAGTTAAAAGGGTACAAAATGATATGTAATTTATGCACCGATCAGACTTACCACCAGGATGTAACTTAGCTCGTGACAAGGAGAATCAAGTTTGCAAGCTTAGAAAGTCATTGTATGGGTTAAAGCAATCTCCCAGGGCATGGTTTGGCAGATTCACTAAATCCATGAAGAATTTTGGATATATACAGGATAATGCGAATCACACTTTGTTCTTGAAGCGTGATGGAAGAAGACTTATTGCATTGATTGTTTATATGGATGACATAGCCATAACTGGAAACGACACAGAAGAGCAACTGAAACTGCAGAAGTATTTGTCTCAGGAATTTGAAATGAAGAATTTAGGTGATCTAAAGTACTTTCTTGGAATTGAAGTAGCAAGGTCCACAACTGGTATATTTATGTCCCAAAGGAAGTATGTATTAGATCTACTCACTGAAACAGGAATGCTTGGATGTAAGCCTGCTGACACACCCATTGAGATGAATCACAAGTTGTGTGAAGACATGGATCAAGAACCAACCAATAAGGGACAGTACCAACGCCTTGTTGGAAGGTTGATATATTTAGCCCACACAAGACCAAATATTGCATATGTTGTGAGTGTGGTTAGTCAGTTTATGCATTCACCCAGTGTGTCTCATAGGAATGCAGTTGATCGGATCTTAAGGTACTTAAAGTTAGCCCTTGGGAAAGGATTAATGTTCTCAAACAATAGAGATCTTGAAGTTGTTGGATATACAGATACTGATTGGGCTGGCTCCATTACTGATAGACGCTCTACTTTAGGTTACTTCACTTTTGTGGGAGGTAACCTAGTCACTTGGCGGAGTAAAAAACAAAATGTGGTTTCTTGGTCTAGTGCTGAAGTAGAGTATTGAGCAATAGCTCACGGAGTTTGTGAATTACTATGAATCAAAAGGCTATTGACAGAATTAGGTTTCAAGCCTGAAAAGCCATTGGAGTTACATTGTGATAACAAGTTAGCCATTGATATTGCCCATAATCTAGTTCAACATGATCGAACCAAACATGTTGAGGTGGATAGACATTTTATCAAAGAAAAAATTGAGAAGAAGATCATCCGCCTACCATTCGTAAAATCAAAAGATCAACTAGCAAATATCTTAACCAAAGCTGTTTGTGGCAGAGTATTTCATGACTCACTTACCAAGTTGGGCATTGGTGACGTATATGCACCAACTTGAGGATGAGTGTTGAAGTGAGTCTCCTAATTAATCAAGGAGATTTATTTCCTTGATTAATTAAGGGATTTATTTTCCTATTTTATATTGATGTCAAATCATTGTATAATTAGGAGATACTTTCCTAATCCTTTACTGTATCTAATTCCTTATAAAGCACTCATGTAAACTCTTATATATATACCTCCTTATGAAGAAGAATAAAACTAACCTAATATATTCAAACCCATATTCATATTTTAGCAATTTGAACCTCCAAACACTGGCACACCCAGAAATGTTCTGTAACATCCCGACCCAAAATAAAAGGAATAGTGAACTAATTAATTTCAAGATTTATGAATTTACAATTTTGCCTCCGGAGTAGGGGTAATTTGGTCATTTTTATCCGGGAGGATTTTGGGGCAGTGGTTGGTACCGTTACGTAGGTCGTACTGAGACGAGTCCGTAGACATGCGGTAGGCTCGAATCGGAGTTGTAACGAGAGAGATACGATGTAAAAACTCTCAGTGGCACAATCATAATTATTTCGAAGTTTATTTTTAATTAAAACAGAAAAACCCTCTCTCTCTCTCTCTCTCTCTCCCTGTCACAACCCTGTCTGTTATAGCAGCGACGGTTTCACCATCGCCACCCCATCTCCAGCAGCCACCGGCCACGGGACCGGACCGGATCGCACCCTCGCCACTCCCTCTTCCTTTCCCGGCCAGCCCTCGCCCTTGGAGACGTCGGAATCTCGCCGGAAAACAACCAAAACGCGCTGGTTTTTGACAGAACTTCCAGCTGCTCGTTCTCCCTCATTTCTCCACCAAATTGGGTGTGTAAGGTATGGTTTTCCACCTATTTTTCCTGATCTAGCTGATGGTTGGGTAGGATTGCATCGATTTTGAGCGTAGGTAGTTCGATTTTCGAATTTAAGTTTGGTCGGACTTCGGGTTGAATTTTCAGCCACTTCCGGCCACTTTTTGGGGTATGTCTAAGAACAAAAGTGGTTCCAAATTAGGTGTATTACCTAGGATAGGAGTCTTGGCCCGAGATTCTGAGATTTTCCGGCGATGCGATATCGCTTTGGACACCCACGTGCTGCCAGCGCGTGTGGCGGCGCGTGGGCACGGTATCAGAGGGGTATTTTTGTCCCAATGTGATCCCCTGGTTGTCACAAGTGCGTAGGATTTTACATATCTCAATTTGGATAACGTTTGAACCCCGAACGGATTTTACATATTGTGTGATTTTCGGGTTCGATATGTTAGAACCGTTGGATCGCTTTCCTTTTAATATGTGTTGATTTAGGTATTCCCAGGATAGTGTAGGATTTCACGGAACGTGAATCGGAGTCCCAGATGTTCCGATTCAATGACTTAAAGTTTAACGTTTCACGATAACCGTCCGATCATGCGATCGTGTGTGATCCGACCGTCCGATCTAAACCAAACTTGCAGGACGTGTATCCTAGACCTTTTGGAAACCATAGGGACGTTCGGATCGTAAAATGGAGGTCATGGGCCCCGCAGGCCCGGTTGACCAAATGTGGGAAGTTTGACCCTCGATTGACTGTGAGTCTTTCGAGGTAGTTTCACCCTTCAAAAAGTATTAGGATGACCTTGTAAACGAGTCTTAATTGTTATTTGAGTTATTTGGAGTATTTTGGGAGTATGAGCTTGTTTATAATGTCTTACGGGATTCTTGGATATTATTTGATAATTGAAATTATGAAATGGATGAGTATGGGATACTCGATTTGATGAGTTATGAAAGTGAGCCGTGGGCTCGGTTATGATTATTAAGGAGTGAGTGGACTTTGTTTTCAAATAATAAGCATTGGCTTTGTGATGGAAAGTTATGCATATTGTTTTAATGGTTTAATGAAATACATTATATATTTGATTATTGGATTTAGTATGTTATGAAGTATTTGTGATATACGTTGGGGTCTTGACATATTCGAGCATCTTGAGTCATTTGTATAATATTTAAGAAAATGCTATCTTTGTAGATTATGTGTGGGGTACTTGGGATGTGGTTGTGAGATGAGGAGAGATGTGAGATTTGGAATGTTAGTTTGAGTGCTATTAGCACTACCTTAGGTACCCCCCTGGATATAGAATATGCTTGAGAATTTATTAGCTATACTATGAACAGGTATTTGTTCGGTAGCCTACGCTTCGGATTATTTATTTTGCCCAGGCCCGTCGGAGTTTGTCCAAGCCCTTCGGATTATTCATTTTGCCCAGGCCCGTCAGAGTTTGTCCAGGCCCTTCGGATGTCTTCTTAATATGATGCCTTGGGAAAATTGAATTAAGGAAGGGAATATTATTTTTATAATATCTATATAAGGATTACGAACTCCACCATCATACGTACCTCCCCCTTGGATGATGATACTTGGAAACAGTGGATATGGACACTAGGATACATGGAAATGGATATGGATTGGATATGGTTTGGATATAACGGAACCCGGGGCATCCTTGACGGGATGTTGCTGTAGACCCTTGATTGGGTAGTCTGCGCGCGTAGAACTGTTTTCAGACGTTCGGGTCTTGATTCTTCGTCCGTACGGGCTGGTTGGGGTCCCCTAGTTGGACGGCTCGTCCCTAGCCACATGGATGTTTGAGGGCCGGATAATTGTGAGCTAGTCAACAATCCCCTGTTGGATTGTTTCCCCCAGTACATGATGTGCATCATCATACGTACCTCCCCCTGGATTTGTAATTGGATTATGGAAATGGAAATGTGGGATACTTGGAAATGTCGGAACCCGGGGCATACCTTAACGGGGTGTCGCTGTAGACCCTTAACGGGGTAGTCTGCGCGCGTAGGACGGTTTCCAAGCGTACGGGTCTTGATTCTTCGTCCGTACATGCTGGGTTAGAGTATCAATCCCCCAGTTGGACGACTCATCCCTAGCCACATGGACATTTGAGGGCCGGATAATTGTGAGCTAGTCAACAATCCCCTGTTGGATTGTTTCCCCTGGTACATGATGATGGTGAGAAGTGGGTGTTATTATATTACATATATGTATATGTGGTTTTGATTCTGGTTCGAGATTTGCGAGTTTGTACATGTATGAATGTTTAAGCCTTGGATTGGGAAGTGTTGTTCGGCAACATACGCCTTGGATAGGGTATGGTTGCATGGAAAGAATTGACATAAAGGGAAGAAATTGATAATGTGTTCCATGTACATACGCCTTGGATAGGGTATGGTTGCAGGGTTGATTCGATATAAAGGAGGAGTTTGAGAATGCGTTCATTGTGTTTTGTTGGAATTTGAATGGTGATAAATATGAAATGTATTTGTTGGTTTTGCTGTAAATAATTGTCTATTATCGGAGTTGTGACCGTTGAGATGAGAACTACATGTGGCTTGATCCCTTGTCCAAGGGTACGTAGGCGCTTGGGGTCTCACCAGGTGCAGCCGTGAAATATTATTGTGTTTTAAAGGTTTGATCGATTCGGAATGTGTGATTGGATTTTTGATGTGGTTAATGGATTTGAATCCATTTTAATGATTTTGGGGGTAATCGTAAAATTGTTTGAGATCATAAATGGTATGGTTTATGTATTGTTGGACTTAGGAGCATTGTTGGTTATGTTTCGAATTACCTGAAAGCCGGAGGCCTATTATGTGATTGCATGTTGTTAACTTGTGCATGCTACCTGTTGGTGTTTTAAAATGTGTTTTATGCAGGTTGGAAATTTTGGGGAATGTTCAATTTACAGGGGAGACTCTGCCGAAATTTCGGCAGAAAGTCTCGTGCTCTTTTCCCTTAATTTGGAAAGAGGCTAAATTTTTAGTAAGTGGGCCCATAACCCACATGATTCGTCTCGGGTTCCGAGGAATTCGGGGCGGGTCCTGTCATGTTCAACATGGGTGAAATCCCCAAAAAAAAAATTATAGCAAAAAATGGATAGAGAAACCACACCAAGCCAAGGGAAGAAGAATACTAGCGAAAAAATTAGCTGTGTCTCTAAATCTTCTTCCATATCTAAAACCAAACAATCAGCATGAAATATGAGTGTCTCGACCTTTACTAGAACATCTTCAATAATTTTGTTAATTACGTTGGTAAATAAGAGTGAGATTATGTTGGTAAACCAAAAAACAACTCTTATTGGTAAATAAGAGTGAGATTATGTTGGGTGAATTTTTAATTACGTTATTACTTTTTTTATCAAACAATTTTATAAGTATATATTATTTATATTCATTATCTTGCCTTAGTACTTTTTTTTTCTTCAACAAAGTAGTTATATATTGATTTTTTCTTTCATAATGGGGCAGGTCGGGGAACCCATTTCCCAACGAAGGTGGGGATGGGGAATCCCCGATATGAATATTGCGGGTATGAAGGCAGGGATGGGGGAAAAAAGCTTAACGGGATGGGGATCAGAATGGCATACCCACCCCCGATTTGACCCATTGCCATCCTAATGGAAAGGCGTAACAATAGAGCTTGTGAGATTTGAACATAACTATCCCTCCAAAGTACCAAATCACAACTGAACCAATGTTAACTTTTGGTTTAGTTCGGTTTATGCCTCAAATTAATAGCATAACTGTATCAAACCAATTCATTTAGTGACCAATTTTGTTCGATTATCTCCCTTAATAAAAAATAAATAAATAAAAATTAGACAAAAATTGAATGGTTTGAACAGTTTTTTGCCAACCCCTAGTTAAAAACAAAGTACATGATTAAGTAACACTAAACTAGGGGCAGCCTTGACATGGTGCAAGGGGTGCTACTGCACAGGACTCCCAATTTTTGAGGGCCTCATAAATTTTTTTACTTTATATTATATATATTAATATAATAAAAATTAGATATGCTCCAATGTGCAACACATTGACACAAAAGTGTATTTGGCAAAGCTGGTTTATAGTGCATATCCCTTGATACAAGGCCTAGGTTTAAGTCTAAGTGATGTCCTTGTATTCGTATTTATATTCTTTTTTTCATTATAATTAAAATAGTTTTAAAAAACCAGAAGCACGTGAAATTAAAGGGGAAAGATCCAACTAAACTAAGGCAGTATATATCACACGCATACCAAACATACTATTATTTAACTTTATCAAATGAAAACATTTAAAAAAAAATTTATGAATTTGGTTTGTGATTGTTATTACATGCAAATTGATGTTGAATTTTAGTTATAAAAAATTGTTTTATAACATTAAGTCATGTCAATTTTTTTTTATAGTATTTTCATATTAGATTATGTGAGGGCTCCAGTTTAAATTTGGCACAGGGCCCCCAAAATCTCAGGACTGGCCCCTACACTAAACATGTTACTCATCTTCACTTTAGGTCAAAACACGACATCGTGTAACTTAAAATCACAACCTATGATACTAATTGAATTATGTTGAGGACATAATTGCCATCCCTTGAACTATAGAAAGTAGTTCTAATTAATAGTACTTCATGTAAGTAACACAGAAAATACAAACCCATTAAACCAAAACCTGTTTTTGAATCTAGTCAAAAACATGTCTAATGTGACTTGTTTATTTTGTATTCATCACTTCATAAAGTGGCATGTAAGTCGTGTGGAAGGATCAGACGACGCAACGGTAAGTTTTGAGGGAACCAATTACTCCACCACGGTAAGTTACTTTTACCACCTTCCCTTTCTCCAATCCATAGTATCGAGCAATGCCATCAGTTTCCAGCATTTGAGGGAGCTGTGGAAGACAAACAATAAATTGCATTCAATAATTTTATCAACCAAATTTCAACTTAGTAAATTGCAATCGACAGCTAGCATGACAATGAAATTCTATGCTGCATAAATAAGTCTATTCAGATTAAAACTATTTCAATGGATACCTTGCTCCCAACCAATGGAGGAAACCACTTCTTAAACCAACTATCAAGAGCTTGATGTCAAATGAAAACTAACTAGCTTCCTTGTGTTTCACTCATTAAACAGTAAAAATCAATCGCTAGCTATCTCAGTGTCAACAAAATTTAAGCCATAAAAAAATCAGCAAATAGATTTGACCCTAATTGTCACCAACATTTGTATTCAAGATCCATACACAGTTACCTGCTTGTCTTCCAACTTGTACTTCCTTAGCAGCTTGTTCTTTTCTTCGGCAGTGAGTATCTCGAGCTTTGGCTTTAGAGCATGCTTTGTAATATTGACCAGCAAGTCACAAATCTAAACCCAAAGCATAAGTATTGGGGTAAAATGGAAACTCTTACGCTAAAACCAGAAATATTATGGGAAAAATGCACAAAGAAACAAGAAAGGAAAGGTTGGATAGAACTTATGCTCAAAGTCCAAACATGAAAGGCAAACAGCCGTATTGCCTGATTACAACAAAGTTACGAAAGTGTAGACAGCTGCATTGCCTTACAAGTGATAAATTATACACTAATATTCATCTAAATTGGCATATCATAAAAAAAAACATTTGAACACCGATCAAAAAATAAAAAGAGAAACATTTGAACAGATAACTTAATATTTCTGCTTCAGAGGAAATCCAGATGATGATTTTCTCCAGTTATTCAGCATAAGAAAAACAGAAAATGCCTTGACAACTCAAAGAGTAGCCCTTAGGCCACTTGGAAAAGGGGTACAGTACAATATTGTAGAACAATTATCAGGTAACTTACATGGAAAGTCTCAACTTTAAAGGGATACTTCTCCAGTTCTTTCCGAGCATAGGAGTTCATTTTACTTTGCAGGACAAGAATCAGCCGGTGTATATTTGCTTTGTTCGGGAGGCCAGCGTAGATGCCACACATAGTCTGTTTCCTTATTTCCTCAGTTCCACAAAAGATGACAACAATCTGCAAAGAAACTCAACATTCAGTTGCATCACTAATGCTGGAACCCAAAAAAAGCATGGAGGTTTACACAGGAACAGAGAAAAACATCAAATAATTACATGTCATTTCAACCATATCACTTCTGGTTTTGAAGAACATTTTCATTTGGACCTTGCCAGTTTGTAATTTCCAACATTATTTATAAAAACAAAAAAACAAAACAAAAAGAAAAAGTCAATCAAAAATCAAAACTTTTCACTGCATGAAGCATTGTTCTTTTGTTTCAGAAATTTTCCTCATTCATTTCATCTCTGCTCCTAAAGTTAACATTTTTAAAGAGCATTTTACTAGACCCTTTCCCACGCACGACAGAGTTTAAATACTAAGCAATATACACAATTGCTCAAATATAGGTTTTACATAATCTGGTAAACTTACTTGTCGATTATAACAGTTTCCGTTTTTTATGCACAGAGTTTAAATACTAAACAATATACACAATTGCTCAAATATAGACTAAGACTACATCCTCTTAAAACTTCAGAAAATAGACAATAACATCAAAAGTAGAAACTTTTATCTTTGTGAACAAAAAAGGCAGGAACTTTGAGAAAAAAAGGTGTCATTTTTTCCAGGAAAACATTTTCTGCTTGGCATTATTTTCCTCCTCCTCTGTTTTACTCGGCAACCAACCAAGCACAAAACTCAGAAAGGTACTTTCTTGGAGGGACTGGAGCCGAGAGAGAGAGAGACGCAGATACGGAGGAAAAATACATCCAAAAAGTAGGACTTCTTTTGTCTGCGAACAAAAAAGGTTGGAACTTTGAAGAAAAGGTGTCATTTTTCCCAGGAAAACATTTTCTGTTTTGCATTTTGTTTTCCTTTCCCCTCTGTTTTTTTCTCGGCAACCAAACATAAAACATACCTTCTTGGAGGGAGTAGAGCGCAGAGAGACGCAGATACTGAGCTGCTGGAGGTCCGGGTTGGGGCCGAACTGGGAGTGGAACTCAGTGAGTGAGAGAGAGAGGTCCGAGTCAGAGACGTCGCAGCCTCGGTCACTCAGCATCTCCATGGCCGTACGACGAGACAGGTAGAATCTGTAGCTCTCCATGCTCCCCTCCACCACATGGCTCGTTATACATCCCGGTCGTCGTCCTCCATCGCAGCCCGAAACGACGGCGTTCTCGTTGACGGTAGCCATTCAGTTTCTATTTCTATTTCTCTTTCTCTCTCTCTCTCTCTCTCTCTCTCTCTGTGCGCGAAAGAGTGTGTGTGTGAGACGTTTGGAGGGAATATGAAAGCGTCGTACGGGCGGAGAGAGGCGTGCGTATGTACGGAATGTGGTACGTTACTCCCTTGATTTTGTTGACACGCGTCCTTTTCTGAGCTATGGTTTTTGGCCTTTTCCCTCTACGACCCTTTTCTTTTTAAATTATTTTTTTATGAACCTTCTCTCTCCGACTTTTTGGCTTCTTCAATTTTGATAACTTTTTGTTTGGCCAACATTTTTGAGAACATTGTTTTCAAATTCATTGTTCTTGCACTTTGAATTGTTTTCTTTCTTTCTTT